ACACTGAGTGGGAGTTTTGAACTTCGTTCTGTAGCCCACAAGGCCTTTAACAATTTCTCATGCCATCCTATTTTGTTCTCTTCTAATGTTTTTTTCAAAATTTGCACAAGTGTCTTATTGAAGGCCTCGACCAGCCGTTTTCTTGAGGATAGTAAATCATATAGTATCTTCAATCTATCCCATATTGCTTGACAAAACTGTTAATATTTATGCTCTTGAAGGCTAACTCATTGTCTGAAATCACTCTGCATGGAACACCGAAATGGCAGATAATCTGACTCTTAAAAAATTGAAGAACATTTTGTACTGTAACCTCTCGTAACGATAATGCCTCTGCTCATTTAGAGAATTAATTTATAGCTGCAAGAATAAATCTATGTCCTTTTGAAGATGGAGGGTCTATTGGACCCACTATATCAGTGCCCCAACACTCGAATGACCACGAGGCAATTAGGCTAGAGCTAGAAGCGTCAGAGACAAATTTAAGATGGAGTAAGACGGTTTGTGACTATTTTTGAGCGGTTTTTGAAGGCTCCAAACGATTCAAACGTCTCATGGAGTGGTTCAATGCATCTAGATACTTTGCAAAGGCTCTTAGGCTCTTTAATGAAGAGGGCTCTTTAATGAAGAGATATGTCTCTTGAATGAAGGGGCTTGTCTTTTAGTGTTAAAAGATGTAACTTTTTGGGAAAAAATTGGAGTGAATTTTGAATTCCTTTTGAAAAAAGGCTGTTCCTAATAAAAACAAGAAGAGTCTAGAGAAGAAAGAGGGGGGGCGTGAGATAGAGAGGAAAGCTTTGGCATGAGAGAAGTCTTCAAGAAGACAAGATTTTCTTCTAGGGTTGTAAGAGGAGAAGGAAGGTGAAAGATTTCTTCTTCCTTAAACTTTTAAGAGAGAATTGAGTGTGATTGTAAAAAGAGAAAGTGCTTAAAGGGAACTTCTAAGGATTTTCATGGGAAGAAGTGTGAGATAAGTTGGTTCTTTTCTTTCTTTATTCTGTAAACTTATTTTTATATATGAAATCTGTGTTTTTTCATATCCTTCTCATGAATCCTGAGTAGTCTTCTTTATTTTTCTACCTACAATGAGATATGGTTTTGTGAAGAATTAGTTTTGTTTTGTGAGGTTTTAAGTGTTAATAAATTGTGATGATTCAAACTCTGATCTTCATTTACTTTTTGATCTGACCAACTAAATGGTTAAAGTTTCTTGAGAAACATACGATCCAAAAGGGTTATGCATTCTCAAGGTAAGAGTCACATTCAATTGATTGTAAGCAAATAAATAGGGAAATATACTTTAATGGGCATAAAATTGAAGATTTTAAGGTGATGGATTAAAACCCCCAGTTTGGTCCAGTTGCTTGGAAATTAAAGCGAGATTATTAGCCCTCAGGCGAAGGAGAATTGAGAACTATGGTGTGGCAGCCATTATCCTCTCAACCTAACCACGAATTTAGGGATCAAACTTTGGATTAATCAATATTATTTATTCACTCTCAAAGGGTAAGGAATATGATTACTCCTATTTGACACAATACAATTTTATATTTATTTTAAATGATTTTAATGTCTTCACACTCCATAAACTCATTGTAAAGGGAAAGGATAATTTCTTAAATTTGAACTCTTCATTTCAAAATATTGTTTAGTTTTAATAAGTTTACTTTTGAAGTTTAGCAATCAGTTAGTTAACTTCGTTCTTTTAACTGCATTTCATTTAGCGCACATTAATTTACTTTGGATTTATTTTTCTTACTTAAGTTTTATAGTTTGAAAATTGTGTTTGACGTTATAACCATTAGAATTTCCAACTCCCCATGGGATCAATATTTAGGACTCCATTAGAGCCCTTTATTACTTGAGCGATACGCATACTTGCGTTATTATTATGGGGTTTAACAACTTAGAGATTTTAAAAGATAAAATTATTTATAACTGAATTTATTTTTATTGGGATTGAACTGCATATTTACTATTAGTGTTGACGTGTGTGTATTGTAATATTGAAAGATATTTACAACGCACATCACAGAAATCGACCGCTACATCAGGTGCCTAGGTGCCGACGCCAACCTCTCAGGTTGGTGAAGTACGGTCTAACACTTAGGCACATAGTACTACTTTGCACCATTTAGCTCCATGTGCTCTCCTTCTTTTCCCACTTCAATCACTTGTTGTACCTGTAAAATAAACACAAAAAACCTTTCTTACAGTGCAATTTTATCCATAAAAATGTATAAAAAATAATAAGAATACTAGTTAACTTATCCATACAGCACAACCTTTATTTGTCCATTTTTTTTAGGATGATGTAGTGAAATAAATTTTTGATTAATCCCCAAACTTTGGTAGAATATTTCATCCCCTGGTTGGTGAGTTGTGTTCCATTATTTGTGAAAAGTTTTAGGGGTAGGCCATATGAACAGATGATGTCTATCCCGATGAAGTTCCGGATGACATTTGCGATAATCTGGATTAGGGGCTTTGCTTCTATCCATTTTGAAAAATAGTCCATAATGACTAAAAGGAAATTGCGGCAACCCTTTAAAGTTAGATACAACATGAGGATGTCAAGTCCCCAGATTATAAAAGGCCAGAGACTGACAATCAACTACAACTTTTGGCTAGTTGGTGCTGCAGTAGAGCATATTTCTAACATTGCTCACATCTCGTAGATAACTCCTTTGCATCCTTCATGAGGATCGTCAAGAGGTAGCATTGCCTCTGAAAATGATGTGTCAAGGTATTTCCTCCAGAATGACTTACACATTCACCAAAGTGTATTTTTCAGAAGATTTCACCAACTTTATTCTTCCTAACACATCTTAGACGCAAAAAAATTTTTGACCTTAAGAAAAGTTTACCTTCAATAATGAGGCATAGTGTAGCTCCATTATCTCTTTTGGGATCTTTCTAATCTCTAAATATTGGATGAAAGAATCCATTCAAATCTTTGTGATTTCAGCTTCCACCACTGTCTCATTTGGTTCCTCAATGGTCAATCGATAAGCCTTTGGGGTGTTCGCTCTCCAAAGCAGCCATTCTTTGATTTGATTTGCTTCCTGACTAACTTTCTCAATCAAAAAGTCTACAAACTTCCCAATCTCCACTTTTGCTTTGTTTAAGTATTTGATCATTATCTTGTCCCTAGCTTCAAAATTTCTGTTGAATTGATTTACCACCAATTGCAAATATGACATTACTAGCAGATGTAAGACACCCATTTTGAGGGCTAAGCATAGACCAACTATTAGTGCCTCATATTCTGCTTGATTGTTGGTAGCCTAAAGCTTGAGGATGACCAAGTGACATAGATGTTCTTTTATTGGATTGCTTTGTGTCAGTTCGATTCTTGCTCTCACCTGACTAAAGGCTTCATCAATGTGTAAAGTGCAGCTTTGGTCACCAATATCAGCTTCTTCGCTCGATCCACCTTATTCAGAGAATTCTGCTAGGAAATCTGCCACAACCTGAGCTTTGAACGTCATTTGAGGGATATAGGTGATGTCGTATTCACTAAGTTCCAAAACCCGCTTCAACAGCCGACCAAACTATTCTGACTGAGTGAGCACGGGTTTGAGTGGATGGTTAGTGATGAACATAACCAGGTGCATTTGGAAATAAGACTGGAGCCTACAAGTATAAACAATTAGATCAAAGGTTAGCTTTTCCTTAATAGGATTCCTGACCAACGCCTTTAAGGACTCAACTGAGGTAGTAAAAGGAGAATTATTTTCTCAGCTCCTCCCGAACTAAGTCCGAACTGATGGCTTTTGGCCCAACTCTCAAATATAGAGAGATTTCTTCCTTTAGTTTCGGGCTTTGCAGAAGTGGGTGCTAGGTTAGCGATTGTATCACACTTTGGAATTGAGAGATAGAGAAAGGGAGAAGTTTAGTACGCAATAAAATAAGTTCTCAAAGAACAAGTTTATTAGGTCATTCTTGAAGAAATGACCCCTCTATTTATATATTATAGGTGGTGTTTAGTAAGTTAAATATTTCTATATTTTAATAGGAATGTTACAAGTAATTAATGCACCTCTTCATATTTGTAACTCACTCTGGGATTCATAACTGTTGCTGGCACGATTCCATATTCAAAGCTGCCAAAAAAGAAAACACTTAATGACCTGTTGGTGTTGTAATTTGCTCATTTGATAATCATTCAGTTGGCTATAAGGTCTTAAATTGATATCCTTGGGATAATCTTTGGTAGAGGCCCTCTTGTCGTCATTGTGAACTTAGACGATCAAACAGAGAGTGTATCACCGTGATTTGACGAACAACTCTCCTCAGACAAGGGGACTTCTGAGAGGATTGAAAAAATATTGAGGTGCCCTTTGTTCTCATCACTATGAAAAATCTCGAAATCATTCAAGGGAGCTAGCTTTGGCTATGTGCACATTGATCTGGTGCTTCTTTTCTTTCGATCGGTCTGCTCATGGTTCTGACCAAATGGAACGTTGCTTGATATCTTTATCTTTCAACTATTTCGACATAGTCCTTTGGTATCCTTTTAGAGAGGATTATTGATTTTCTCGAGATTCGTGTGGTCATATTTTTGATGTTCAATACTAACATATAAATTAAATATTTTTTAGCTTTCTAAATTCTAATACATTTATTAACATAAGATTGTATAACATTTTAGGACACGACAATGTGAATTAGCCTACTGCACCCCGCTGAATGCCGTTATCGAGGCCATCCCGAAAGTGAAATTACAGTATTAAAAATGCCGCCGTAGTTTTAAACTGCCCTAAATAGACCCTAAGAATATGCCTCGAGCTCCATTGGTCACGTCCTGACCGGGTCTAGAGAGAGAAATGAAAATAATTTGATAATAGTGGAGAGAGAAAAGGAAGGCTGGTCTAGATAGAGAAATGATAATCGAGGAGAGAGAAATAGAAGGCTACTGAGGGGTCCACTTCTTTTTCCCCCTTTTTTTTTTTTTTTTTTTTTTTTTTTTTTTTTATCTGTCTGCAGCAGAAGCCACGGTTGGAACGACGCGTGCGAGGATGCGAATCATGAACCCTTCTATCATTCCGCCCTCTCCTGCGTCCCTTCGGAGCAGTTAAATCGTAAATTCTAGGGAAACGGTATTCTTATCTCCCTTTAGTTTCCTAGTTTATTGATCTATGCTTATTTGGGCTTTGGGAGGTTATCAATTGTTGATATTATAGTTTCCTTTAATGACTTTGAATCTGTGAAGTCCCCACAGATCGAGGAGAGTTTATATGTCATTTCTTTATTTGTTTAATTGTTCAATATCTTCTGTGTTCGGGTGGATTGTGAATCTCTTGCTTCTGATTTCTTGAACACAGCAATGGAGTCTCGCGTGGGCAACAAGTTTCGGCTTGGTCGGAAGATCGGAAGTGGATCGTTTGGTGAGATCTATTTAGGTATGTTTAGAGTTCTGGATCGTTTGTTGAGATCTTTTTGGTTATGTTTAGAGTTGTGGAACGAGTGCGGTCGGTTAAGTGTGGTGCTGGGTGCCTTTGTTTTTCGGTTTGAGTGAAGTTGTTTTTTGTTGATTTCAGGTACGAACGTGCAGACAGATGAAGAGGTCGCAATTAAACTTGTAAGTATTTTCTGCTATGGCTATGGGCTGAATAGTTCCGTGACATGGATTCTGTTTACTAGTAGCTTAGAGTTTTTGTAGTCTTATTTATTGGGGCAACTTAAGGAGTTTAGCACTACCTTTTATTTGAACTTGCAAATTCTGTAAATCTTGCCTAATTTGTTTTTTCTTCATTGTGAATTGCAGTTCATTTCTTTATTCACGTTTTCCTCATGTTTAAAGTTACCTCGAAGTGTCACTAAGAAGCTGGCGATGTCTGGAATTTTGTGTGTTTAATCTGCAATTATCATTAACAAGTGCCATTATTTTATGGGCTCCCCTAACTAATACTCTACTTCGATCTTTAATTTTGTAGGATTAGGACATTGTCTATATATGTGAGCTTGAAGATTTATTCTTGTTTTTTGAAGATTTTTCTTTTGGGCAATTAGTGTTAGTTCTGGCAGGAGTTATTTTATTTATTTGGCAGGATACTTTATTAATTTTCTTTAACTTTGTAGGATTAAGCCTTGGTCAAAATATGCGAGCTTGAAAATTTACACTTAGTTTTTGAAGATTGCTAAAAATGTTCTTTTGGGAAATTAGCTCTAGTTGTAGGGAAGCTTGTTTCTTTTATTTAATAGGATACCTTTATTTATTTTCTTTAAGATTGAGTTTTCTTTGAGTGCATTTTGAATGCATTATATATCATTGATGCATGGCTAATCTTATTTTGCTTATGATTAGAGAATGCCAAATTATCCTCTTATATGTTAAAAATGCTTCACTTTAAAGCTCAACTTTCTAGCATATGTTTGGGACAACTGTTTATTTGCTTTACTTATCAAACCCTAACTACGATGACATTTGGCTAGGTTTTGAACTTTATTTTAAAATGTTTTGCAATTTCTGATATTTTATGTGATTGGATATATTATCGTATGTTTCAGCAGTGTGATTCTGTTCCATGTTTCCAAATACAAAATTTTATCAGTACTATACCAAACATATTTTAAAGAATCTATATAATAATTTCAAGTAGTAGCTTTTCTTACAGTAATTTCACAGTTGACCTTACAGATAATTGCATCTGCTTCATTTAGACCCTTAGTTTCAAGTTCTATCTGTTTTTTTATTATTTTTATTATTTTTGTTTTTTTTTGTTTTTTTTTTGCATATTCCCCTTTTTCCTGGTTTGGCTTTCTAATGTTGATGATAAAACATACTCAGGATAATGATAAAGCTGAAAGTGGGTTATCCATGATAATATAAATATGTATGAATGACAATAATATAAAATGATAGAGATAAATTTTGAAGGAGAATAAAAATATTAAATATGCAATAATATTGATATCAAATACTCACCTAAGTTTTCATGAAGGAGAAGCCATTAAGTTTCACCTTTATAATGAATACAAGCAGCACTAATTTGTGCTTTAACCAAACTTAATTTTTTTTTTTGATATAACTCACTCATTTATTAGCGTTAATCACTACATAATTTTCCGCGGAAAAAGTGAATGTCTCAAATCGTTTGATTGTATAGCTAATTATTAACTTCTTGAATTAAATAAATTTTTGATTGTAAGGCATCCAAAACTCTCTTCGTTATATCAGAGTGTTAATGGATGGGGAAGAAAGAGGGGAGGAGTTCTCACCATGCTTTCAAACATGTAAAATTTGGCCATGCTCATATAAAAGAAGAGTGGTTCCATAGTATTGCTTTCATAATATTAATTTTTTTCTTGATTGTCTTTATTGTTCTTCGTTAAATAATAATATAGATTTTTATTCATTATCTTTATATTGCCATGGGTAACTTACATTTATCTGCATCATTTCGTATTAAAATATGATACAAAATAAGAATATTGCGAGAAAAATATTTTTTATATGAGAAATCTTTTAATACAATAAAATTTTAAGGCGCCTTAAAAGTAAGTTCATTATCACGTAAGGATTTAATCAATAAAATAAAAATATATAAAAAAAAAACAAAACACATCATCCCCATCATTATCATCATCATCATCATCAACAATAACAATAACAAGCCTTTATCCCACTAAGTGGGGTCGACTAAATGAATCTTTTTTTCTCCATTGCATCCTATTGAGTGTCATATTTTCATTAATTCTAAAAGTCTAAGATCATTTCCTATACAATATTCCCAAGTCTTTTTAGGTCTACTTTTGCCTTTCTTTAACATAAATCGAACCTAAAACAACTAATCTCCTAATAGGATCATCAGATGGTCAGTGTTTAATGTGACCGAACCATCAATGATGACTCTCTATAATCTTTTCTGCCATTGAAGCTACACCAACCCTATCCCAGATATATTCATTTCGCATGTCAAGCCACTCATCCACCTAAGCATTCTCATCTCAGCAACAGTTAACTTTATTTTATGTTTCTCTTTTAAAAGCCAACATTTTGCGTCATAGAGCATTGAAGGTCTCACCACCATCTTATAAAACTTTTCTTTCAGTCTAAGCAGTACTTCTCTATCACACAATAGGCTTGATACATTCCTCCACTTAACCAACCAACTTGAATTCTAATGCTAACATCCTCATCTATATCAACATCACTTTGAACAATAGGACCGAGATATCAAAAACAATCACACCTTTTAATGATTTGACAACATATAATACAACTCTATCACTAGAGCTACTACTACTAAAATTACATTCCATGCCTTCAGTTTTAGATCTACTCTAACGAAAGACTTTAAACTCAAATGTAGACCTCCATAATTTAAGTTTTTCCTAAACTCTTTCTCTAATTTTATCTACAAGAAGGATATCATCAACGAAAAGCATGCACCTAGATACATCCTCTTATAAATGTCCAGTAAGAGCATCCATAACTAAGGCAAAAGGATATGTGCTTAAAGTTGATCCCAGATGTAATTCAACTGAAATAGGAAAATACTTGGTCAATCCTCCTTCTGTTCGAACACAAGTAACAACTCTAGTATACATATATTTAATGGCTTGAATATAAGTTATATCAACACATTTCTTTTCGAGAACTCTACAAAAGACTTCTCTTGAAACATTATCATAAGTTTTTTCTAAATCAATAAAAATCATATGTGTATCCTAATTATTATCTCTGTACTTCTTCATCAAACCTCTTAATACATGTATAACTTTCATAGTAGACTTGCCTAGCATAAATCCAACATGATTATGAGAAACCTTTGTATCACGTCTTAACCTATGTTCAATTATGCTATCCCATAATTTAAAAGTACAAAATATAAACTTAATTCCTCTATAAGTTGCATACTTTGTGTATCACCTTTATTCATAAAAATTAGGACAAAAATACTCTTCCTCCACTTCTCCATCATCTTTTTAATTTTTAAAATAATATTAAAGAATTTAGTAAGCCAAGGAACTCCCAAATCACCTAACCTAAATATTGTAACACTTTAATTGGGATATCATCAGATCCTACTAATTTTTCACCATTGATTTTCTTTAAAGCCTCGTCAACTTCTTTTTAATTAATACAACGGTAAAAAAATAAAATATTTTATTATTATTAACAAAATTAAGATCATTAAGATCGATCGTATTTTTATAAACATCATTTAAAAATTTATCAAAATAGCTCACCCACCAATGTTAAATATTTTTTCTCTAAGAAAAGAACTTTTAATTTTTTTTTAATACACTTTACTTGATCTAAGTTTTTACTTTTATTTTATCTTTGTTTGGCTAGGTTATACATATATATTTCGCCCTATTTAGTATCTAATCTATTATAAATATCACTAAAAGAAGAATTTTTAACGTCACAAATTATTCTCTTAGGCTTCACACGGAACACCTCATATTTTTCTCAGTTCTCTAAGCTTTTACATTTAAACCAATTTTTATAACATAACCTCTTATAATTTATCTTTTCTTGCACATTATTATTCCACCACCAACTATTTTAATTTATAAAAATTTTTCCTTTTGATCATCAAATACAACTTTTGTCACTTGTTTAATGGTGCTTGTTACTTTATCTCATATGGAATTCGCTTCTTCATGAACATCCCAAATCTTGAATTCTTGAAGTTTACTCATAAAAATAATTTTATTTGTCATTTAGGTGCCCCTATCTAATTCTATGATAATATATTATTATATTTTTTATCTTACAACTCTTCATCTTAAAATCCAAAACTACCAATTGATGTTGAGTACTTAAATTTTCACTCAGAATGACCTTATAATCTTTACACTCTCAACGAACTTTTTTTCTTATAAGAAAATAATCAATTTCTATTTTATTAAATATATTCTTATAAGTAATAATATGTCTATCTCTTTTCTTAAATAAAGTAATAGCAATAACAAAATCATATCTAATGCAAAATCTAATATTGCTCTACCTTCTTCATTAATCAATCCAAAACTATAGCTACCATGAATATTTCTAAAATCTTTCACCACTCTACCAACATGTCAATTTAAATTTCCTCCAATTAATAAATTTATCTTCAAAAGTTATCATTTATATTAATTCTTCTAGGACATTCCAAATAGGGGTGTCTAAAATTGACTCGACACGCTAACACAATTAGAATTCAACTAGAAAAATCCTAGTTAGGATTTACCTAAATATTTTTCGAATCGGATTTAGGTCAGAGAATTGACCTGTTTACTATTTGGTCGGGTTTGAGTTGAACCTGAAAAATCCAAACATGACCCAAATAAACACTAAAGTTCGGGTTAGAGAGTCAAGCTCTGTTTCGGGTTTTAGTTTTCGACCCTTTTATTTTTCGAGTCAGGTTCGGGTTGACCCTATTTAGGTCGGATCATTTTCGGGTTAGACCCCTTAACTCGAATGACCCGACCCTGACCTGCTAACCCGAATTGACACTCATAATTCCAGAATTTTTATTTTGAACATATATCTTAACCTATTTGAGGATCATGAGCAATAACAACATTAAAAATCTTAGTATCAAATATATTATAATTATATCATCCTGTATCAAAAATATTATA